ACATCTACATGCATGCAACCCTACTATGCATGGTTTTGCATAATAGTTCTATATGACTTCTCCTGTTATCCAGCCATGGCAGGTTTTCTGTTAGGGTTACTTCAGACATGTTCCTAAACTGCGGGTACCCCCACTGCCAAAAACATCCTGTTGTGTAGACACTGCTTTTAGATATAAACTGTACATAAAAGATTGCCTTAAAACTGCATTATTTCAAATGGCCAGCAGGTGGCAACTGCTCTTATTGCCGTGTTTGGGAAAATTACCCTACTGTTCAGTTGATCTGTGATCTCAGCTAACACTTTCCTGATGTGTTTATCAGCTCACTTCCTGGTTTAAATTCTTATTTAACGCAACGGGATGTTTATTTTGCAATTTATGGCCACACGTAAAGTAAAATAGACAACAGAGCAGGGTACGCTTTAGGGCGAGCTAGCTAGAACCACCACTTCCTCAACTTGTGTTGCTCAAAATTGTAAATAGCGACAGCTATAATGATCAAGCCGTGCCTTCAAGGTAGGTTCAAAAACAAGTGGTTAGTGTCACTGTGGATACGCCCATTTTTTTTTTACCTGCAGCATCAGGTACCTGATAATGGCCACTGCCTACCACAACAACCATGGTGTCTCTGAGTAGCACTGAGCAAGGCTGTCTTGTAAAGTATTTTCCATGTAGGACAGAAGAAAAAGACTTTATTAGTTCTTATTTCAATTGTGACATAATCAATACCAGATTTCTAATACAATTTTGAGTTTATTGTTTTGAAGCAGGTAAATTGAAGCCAATTTCATTACAATGCCATTAATAGGAAGTGAACAGTCTATTTATAGGCAGGCTGTGTTGTTACCTGGGAGATAACAGGAAGCAGGTCATCAAGGCTTCCCCTGCCTGCCCATTACCTTGAGTGTGACAACCCCACCAGCCTACAGTGCACAAACACCCGTCACAGATGCTTCCAAACATACTCTGTAACTGGGTTTCAGACACTGATTCATCTTTTAAAAGAAAGCAGTGACACCATTAAGCTGTTTCCAACACAATTTTTGTTCTTTTTTTGCTTTTGCTGAGTTACAGACTGTGGGTTCAAGACACTTCAAGAAAAAAACATAACTACCGGGAATCCCCCCCCAAAACACCAACTCAGGATTGGTTTCACCACTGAAACCAGGAAGGATTAATATAATGTATGTAACTGTAACACATTACATACATAGACATGAAATCTGTAAGGTGTAAAAATAAAAAAACAAACCAACACAATATTAAGTTCAGCACAACAAATCAAAAGACACACAACTCCACTCCAGCAAAGTACAATAATAGCCACATTTATTGTAATTACAAGCAAGTTCCCTTTACACTAGATTTTTTTTCTCAGCTTCATGTTTTAACCTTCGTGTCATACGTACATTTACATTTCCAGAGTGCATACACTGATGAGAAGGGGGGGGGGGTAGTCTGTTAAATAAAGTGGTTCAAGACATAAAAGAAAACAAAAAATGTCTCTCTTGCCTTTATGAGTCACATGTTAAATACTTCTCATTACAAGCATTACTCAGTAGTGGTACTGTACTAAAAAGTGCACACGGTCTATTCAATACCAGACAGCTTCATATATTATTATATAATGGCAATTTTAACAATGATGCATTTCACACATTCAACATCAAACAAGGCAAACCCATTCAAAAGGCACAGGACTCTCACATCGATATCATCTTTAAAAAAAAAAAAGAAGGTATTTGTACTTACATGTCAGGCAATCCTTCACTTTCAACTCTTTTTCTATAAGGAAAATCAGCTGAAATATGATTCGATATCAAATGGCACACCCATGGTGGCACTGGGCGGAAGAAAGTTTTAAAAAAAACTTAATGAATTAGCACAGTTAACATGTTACAGGGGGGAGGAGTCCAGTTATTCATAGGTTCATGTTAACGCTGGTGTTCTGCAGATATAAACTGAGCACCTGATTGAAAATAATGCAACCATTTCCCCACAGTTTCCCCACTTTAGACTCCAATCGTGGGTAAATAATAATAAAAATAATGACGATGCCCGAGGGGGACGTATTTTCTGTGGGCATTCTCTGTGTGTATTGTGCACACAAGGTTTCCCTGTAAGTACAAAGGGAACCAGTTAAGAGGAAGGCCGCTTCAACAAACTACAACAGGATCCTCTTCTGTTTGAATGTCCTGGTTTGTTTTAGTCAAGGGGGCAAAGGTAAAGAATACAATGAGCAATCTGTGAGCAGGAGCCGGCTAGCCTTGCATCTAGAGAACAGGGTGTGTCATTACTTACTTTAGTCCTGTTCAGCTTATTCTGCAGTGATGCATCAAGCCACACTGAGCCCACTGTTTTGCAGGTTAAGTTTAAATGTTTCAGAGAAAATAGATTTACATTAATAAACATCTCTGCTACAGAGCTACTTGTTAACATTTACAGTTGTTCAAATACATGCAGACACTGTACAAATAAACGTTCCCTTCTTGTCCTCTTTGGACAGAATCGTCCACAAACTTGTTAAAAAAACAAAAAAAACAAATACGAGGCAGAACAAAGAAAGAATGGCAGATCATTTTTTAAGAATATTTCCAAATTTCACAAAAAAAACCCCAAAAGAAATTATTTTAAAAAACAAAACAAAAAGGAAATTAGCAGCAACGCATAGGCTTAGTTCTGTGAGAACAAACTCAAGAACCAGCAAGCCACCAGTGCCTCTGGGTTAAAGTAAGAGAGGGTTTAGTGAGCCTTCAGTGCAAATATGTAAAGGTGAATTTAAATCTTATAGAGACGGAAGCTTTAAAAGGCTGGATATATAATGACTTCTTTACAGTACACTCCATTTAAAATCCACTGTGAAGTGAATACCAACCCTTGGCACGACACGCCTCTCTGATCAGCACTACTGCAAACATCGTGATAATAAAAATAATAAAAAGAAACTACTCTCTCTCTGTGCAATAGTTCAAGTAAGTTATTTCCTGCAAATAGTTAGTGTTTCCTAACACCTCCTGTGGCCGTACCGAAAGAGACGACAACGTACAGGTAACATACAAATACACAAAAGGTTATTATTTACATGAAAAACAGGTGTCTGGACAAGACTGCACTCTACGCAGAGAGGACCGCTACTCACCAATTCAGGCTCAGATTTGACCCAATCCTCCCACTGGTTACAATTAGGACCAAAGTGGCAGTCTCATCCTAGAATCTGTGTCCATAACCACGTCCACCAGTCAGTGTCCCAAAGGGTCAAGGTTAAATCTCTAGAGCGGGGTTTCGTAGACTCGTTCCGACGACCCCTCCTCCGTGTCGTCCTCTGACTGCGACGCCTTGTGGTTCAGCTTCTCTGCTGTCGACGAGGAAACGAGGTTTCCATGGATGCTGTCGTCGCTCAGCTTGGCCTTGCTGCTGTCCTGAACAAACTCTTGGATTTCCACAGGTAGCCGGCGAAATTTGTCCTGGTACTCCTGGTCCAGATCGCTCTGTAACTGCAGAGGAAGAAAATCAAGCATCAACCAAGAATCCGGAAATGAAGAAAAAGAAAATTTAATGATGCTCACAAAGAGTGTTGCAGATTTTGCCCAATTTGAAAACAGCTCAGGCGGTGTCAGTGTGGTCCAACAACCAATTCTGGTAAATGGACTGGTTCTTATATGGCCCTTTACACATTGGCCAACTTGTTTTTTCCACATGCAGTGCAGAGTAGATAACAATTATCAGCAATGTAGTGTTCAGTATCTTGCTAGGGACTGTGACATTTTTGCAGATGAATAGAAACCACCAACCGAGTCCGACCTACGGCTCTTTGAGGTTTGATCAGCAGGTGGATGGGATTGCTTTGCCTGAGATGATACTATATTACTGAAAATAAGAAGAGTAATAGGTCTCTCCCAAAGTTTCTGGAGATGTCACAAAATGGAAGAAGTCTGTTTCTTTAATTTTTATACATTTTCAGTAGAGATTCATTAACTTTCTCTGTTTCCTGTTTGGTGTACAGTGGAGATTTTTTTTGACCTACTTGTCTGGAAATGCTGCAGATCACGGCTAGGGTGAACCAAACAGTAATGTTGTGGGACCAAAACAATGAGCTGGATGAGCTGAGGGGAAGTTGCATAACAATTCTCTGCGGGGTTATCAGTATCAGCGACCTCATTAGAGCAGCTTTAAAGTTTTCACCCTTTACAGCAACCTTAACAATCAGCGTCTACACTGGATTGTAAGTGCTTGGATACAGTAGGTGCTGCAGTTATTTCCATGCCTCTTATCTAAAGACTATAATAACATGAATCATGCCTATTTCCATAACACAGCCTGAACAAAAAGGCTCGATGCTGAACATCAGATAGGGACCGTGACATTCTGCACTGAATAGGCACCTTGATCTGCTGAGGCAGACCAGGATCCCGACAATATCCATGTACTGTATCCGCCCTGCCCTCACTGAGAAACAGAAAGGAGAAGCTGTTTTCTCCGAGGCATAGACGCCCCCAATGATTACAGATGACAAGATTGTATTCATGTCATTGCGAGCCAATAATTGCTGTAATGCTGATTTCTGTTTAACTACTCGGCTGGCTCCCACGGGAGAGCAGTAATTAAAAGAAACGCTGCTAAGATGAATGGTGTCAAAGTCTCACAGCTCGGTACAGTCACGTCAGCACAATGCGAGATCGAAAGTACCTGAGTCCCACCAAGACTTAGCAGAGATCAATATTTTGTCTTAGAGATACTGGTCCCTGCTGTTGAGTGAATGAGGGGCCCCACTACAGACTGACAGCATCCAGCATCTAACTAGAAAAAAATACAAATGCACGTCTCACCTGAATGAATGGAAGCAAATATTGCTGCGACAAAACTGAGAGATATATTCATCTTGCAGGAACTTCAGGCAGCATAAACTGCTGAACACAAAGCCGTACTCTCCTGTGATAGATTCACCTGCAGTACACCCCTCCACCCCCCCTTCTCCCCCCCCAATCCCCAGACATACAGTCATTATAGCGGCGACCAGAAAATTCACAGCTGGCAAACTGCACCCCTGAATATCTGAAAAAATATTTGCAAGAATAGCCAAGAATGGGAGAGACGGAGAGAGCGGAGGAGTCCGAATGAAGGTCAAGGACTCCCATGCTTCTCTTGACTTGACAATTTTCTGCCCTCTCCACTTCACGAGATGGCACATCCATTTCATTTGAGAGCACTTCATAGCTAAATGAGAAAACCTGATTGTTACAAAGTGCTCGCCTTCACAGCACTTTGAAGCATCGCCATAATATAAATTAAACTGATATTATTTTGTTTAGTCTCTGGATGGTTATCACACCTAGGGGCACTAATTTTGGGTGCAATCCTAAAATCTTGGGACTGAAAATGTGTTTTGTTTTTTTTTACGTCTACTCTAGTTGAGACAACACATTAAATGGTAAAAGTTGCAAACAGAGCTGCAGAAGCTTACTGCAGTGCCCCGTGCTGTGTAAATTAAGTTGCAAAAATAGACGTCTGGTATTCAGTAGTAATAGCTCACTTTCTCAGTCTGCTGCCATGTTATCTAAACTTAGTTATCTAATTTTAGGGGCGGATTTTCACCTGTCTCCACTGAAATTCACAGACTGATGATGCTTAATGCATAGAAACCACTTTTTTCTCTCCATTTAGTTGAAATGATCGTTGTTACAAATCTGTATGTAAAAATCTATCAGCCAGATAACTCAACTGCATCTGTGCCTCATTGTTTGAATTTAAGGAAGCTCTTCAGTTGTCTCTTTCTGATGTTTTTGAGTGGCAAAACAGAGCCTGCTCCCCCCGCACCACCAAGCAGAGCATTTCAAGGTCACCTTCTCTGAGAGATGCCTCCCTGGCTGCTCCATCCCTCTCTCACTCTAATCTTTCTTTCTCTGCCTTTCTCTTCTCTCTCCGTGGGTCTCACAGAGCAGCCATCCAACACATCAAAACCAGATGGCTAAAGATGCACCACGACTCGCCTCCCCTCCCGCCCTGCTCTTCACTGCGCATGACCTACTTAGGGGTGGGACAGCCTGCTCGCCCTGTGTGCTCGCATGTGTGTTTGTGCATGTGCAGCCTTTTTTTTATACCCTGCCTGCTGAGGCACAAACACCCTCTGATTAAATCTGTCATCTTTTCTCCCATCTGATGACACCCTGGTTCATGAGAACGGGGAGGTGGGAGCAGAGGGCAGAGAAGTCTGAAGGGTGCCAGCCACTTCTGAGAAACATGTGAGCGCATGGCGTGCGCGGGGGTGTGTGCGTGTAATCAGAAGCAAAGGGCCGTCTGTTAGAGTGATGAGACGAGAGATGAAGACAGCCGTTTCCTTTTACCAAAAGGAACAGTCTATGAATGAATGACAGAAAGATGGATGGATTAGGGAAGAAGGAGGGAGAACTGTGGTATTTTCAGAGTTTCTTGTGATCTGTGGCTTCCAGCTGATATCTTATCAGCCTGGCAGAGGAGAAATCACAGGAGTTTAGTACACAGAGAGAAGACGTGATTGAAATCTACTCCTCAGGCTTAATGGATTTGGGAGAGGGAAGTTTTGGATAATCAAAATTTGGAATTCCTATGGTGACAAGTAAATTCCAGGTCTGGTTAAAAGATATAATTCTTTTGAAATCATAAGCAACCATGATCAAATGCTCTGTGTGCTCACGCTCGATCACATTTATGTACGTGTGGTCCAGCTTCGGTTTGGACACCCTAACCAGCAGGAGCTAGAGTTCTCCAGCCAGCTTTTAAATCTGTATCTCATCTCTGAAGACCAGTCATCTGTCAACAAACCACATGCACACATTTCTGCCTTTCTTAAAATACAGCACTCGGTGACCTTCTTCACCAGCTGTCCTCATTTTGAGAAGCTATCGGGGGACTCAGAGAAGGCCTCCAAAGAGCCAAATTAATTCTTTGCTTTGAGCCATGACATAACGCCTGCTGCGGCATTGCAAAAGTCCTCAACTGGCAAAGAGCTGCACTACACATACATCACACAGCTATGTTAACAGTGTCTCATCTTACTGTCACAACAAGCAGATCTTAAGGAATGATGTGCATCGGTGTGCAGGCTTTGAAAGTAGGTTTTAACCACTTGCTGCTCTAAACCGTTTCAGTGAAGCTGAAAGTGTTCTGTGACACGGAGCAAAACCTGCAAATCTCACACTTACACTCCGTATCGAGGCATGTACCCCGATCCTGTGATTTAGCCTACTAACATCACCACACAGACTCTAATTAGACTAAACCCAAGTTCCTAAACCCACATCTGAGAGATAAGAAAAGGTCACGACCCTATCATCTTTGCATGCTGGTGCATACTGCAAGTAAGACGTGTGTGTGTGTGTGTGTGCGATCGTGCGAGACGGAGGGCAGAGAGAAATTTACTTTCTTTCCACTGTATTGGTCATAAGAATGAAAATGAACTGCAGCAGTCCAAATGCAACAGCAATAACAACACCAGTAATAAAAGAGAGAAACTATTCAGGATAAACTATGTGCTCCTTTTCCATCTATCTCACCTTCTAACCCTCTCTCGGTGCACGTATGTGTGTGAATGCCCTTTCCTGGCTCCTTTCAGATAATTTATCTGCTGCTTTCCTTTCCTTTTTTTGAGAGATTCTTTTCTTCAGGTCCAAGAATTTAAAAACACTCCTGCATACCTCCACTATGTACTGTAATGAGTGTTTTCCCTAAAAGGACTGGCTCAAAGGGGAATGTCAGTTGTGAAATGTGCTCAGCGGTACTTTGACATTTTCACCTTTAACGTGGATGCTAACTAAAAGATTGCATGAATAAATGCATGCATGTTTTAACACATCCATGTTACTGTGATATGAAATTTGATTGTAATTTGTAGAATGACACAGTAAAGTAGTATCCACAAAAATATATGATATCTGTTAACAATCATTTTACAATATAGTGCATATTTGAAAGGACTATGTGCCTTTAACCTGCATTCCTTCTAATGGCCAGCAGGGGGCAACTCCTCAAGCTGCAAAAACAAGTCTACTTAATTTATTACCTCAGTAAACATGTTTCTAAAAAATGTTTGGTCAATTATTTTTTTATTTAACCCTCCTTTTTAATTTATTAATTATGGTCCTAAATAAAGTAACATACACAATAAAGCTGGGTATGCTACAGGGGACGGATGTTGTCGGCCATATGCAACTCAGCAGAAAATTATTGTTTTTTACCAGGTAATTTCCATAGAGATAATGAAAATTTAAACATAACAGCAGTCTAATATTCACCATCAATTTCAGCTCCGTTGTGGTTTCTCCCAATGCCTTGGGGAAAATCTTGCTTTTTAAAGATAACAGCTGCATGCAGCAACCACAAAAAAAGTTGTAGGGAACGGGAGTCAACCAACATGGTTAAAAAAAGCAAAAATCTAGGGACCAAAAACAAAACACAGAGCTAAAATTTGCAAGAATTTCTTATGGGTTAATCACACTGCTACACAACACTGACTATTGTGGCATTAAACCCAGCTGCTGCTGAAGAATATAGTAATAGTATATTTCACCCTGTGTATGCTGACACTGGCTTTGAGGTGTATAGCACTGTAATGTAAAATGTGGTGTTAAGACAACAGACTGAGTACTTGATTAACAGCCGTGCTTTTATATTGATTATTTTAGTCTATAAATTATACACACTGAAACTTTTGCCAAAATTTCGTCAATTTTTAAACAATCAAAACTTATAATATGCCTAAAACACGCCAGCAACTAAAATGGACTTTCATCTAGAACTTTATTTACTGCCTTGTCCTCACAGTGTTTTTGTTGTTTTTTCCTTCCTCTCTAATGCTGCAGAATGGCTAAAGTTTAAGATGTTCATTCCAGAGTCCTCCAAACCGTACTGTTGAGAGGAAAAGTTTCAACGTTCCTTAGACAGAGCACAAGTCGAGAGAGCTTCATTAGCACATGTGGGCATACATAATGAACACTCGAGCACTGATCTAAAATAGCAGCTGGCATAATAGGGCAGAAGATTAACCAAGCATGCCACATGTATGCGCACGCACACATATACAATGGATTTTACTTCACTGCCTGTGGGTTGCACTCAGTGTTCCCTGTATGTTTCTAAGTGTGTGTGTGTCTGTGTGGGAAAAAGTGCATTATTGATGCAACCCCGCCAGAGAGAGATGATGCAGATCAAAGTCTGTGATGAGGGAACATGGTGGCCACCCACCACCCAATGACAGAGAGAGGGACATAGAATGAGACAGAGGGAGAGAGAAGAAGGCCATATACCAGCTTCCTTCCTATTCAACTCCAGCCCTCCCATGATCTCCTCCAACCTGTTTGCTCCCTCCCCTTTCCTCACCCGTCCTCCTCCTCTTGCTGCTTTCTTCTACCTCCAGCAAGCATCCCTGAAATTGCGTCACGAAGACTTGGTTCCAAATTAACAGATTGCAGAGAGTCATGAAGGATAGAAGAGGATATGCGAGGCAGAGAGAGTGGGGGGGGGGTCCGAGTTTCCATGGCGACCGCACAGGACTCCTGCTTCTTGAACGAATGCATGTGTGTCTGTGTGTGCCTATGTGTGTGTGCGCATTCAAGGCTTTCACAGAGGGAGACACCATAAGATATTTTTTTCCTCCTTTTTTCGTTTAGGCAACAAAGAAGCATTTCTCCTACGTAAAGATGTAATTCGAACGATACGCAAGCGTACACCAACGCGCCATGTTGTGAAACATATTGCCTTCTGACTGTTTCATACTCGTTTCACAGCCAAATAAGGTGTGAAGGGATGACTGGTACATAGTAATTACAACATGCCCTGGTAAGCTTTTAGTCTGCTCCTATCATAAAACGAAGGCTAGAATCCTCACACTACATCCACATAAACAAAAAAATCTGGGTATGAAGTCACACCCAGAATCAATCTGAATCTTCAGCTCCAACGCAGGTTTCAGACTCAAAGTAGTAAGTTTTAGAAGATCGGGTGCGATCGAGTGGAACGAACATAAACAAGACGAGGCGCAAAGTCTTTCTGCGGACAATGTGACCTTGACCATGTGGCCTTAAGTAAGAAAAAAGCAGCAGGCCAGGATATAGAGCCTTCAAGTGTGCGGAAATGCCTTTTGCCAGCGTGCTGTGCACTGTTGACTCCTGGGGTTATTTTGATTGGATCATTAACAGGACAGTAACACCTAAGTGCACAGGCTGGGAGTGATGACACAACCCGTCATGTCTCTCTTTTTGTCTCTTGCTTCTCGTTCAGCTTAGTACATGACCTTCATACTACCAGCAGGTAAGAGCAGCAGAAAAAGCAGCAGCACAAGTTGCAAGCTGCTGCTAATGCTAAAGTCAAAGCATAGAGCAACAAATCTCCCAAAAATCAAATCCTAAGCAAGATTTAACAGGACTGCGTAAATATTGTAGCTAATTTTTATCTCGGTATAGCACATGTATGTGAGCTCACACATGTGCTGCACATGTACAGATGTTACTGTAGCAAGTCGCTCAGCTCAACATGTCCATTAGTAGCTTTTCTGAACCAAGAGGAGAAACTGGGTCAGAACTGTATGAAAGGGGGCACTTTTCCTCTCTCTGATTCATAAATACATACCACAATGGAAACACACTACAAATGTAGTTCTGCATTAGCCCAGACTTGAATATATCCCCACTGGAGCCCTTAACATCCTATCCTTAAGTCTTTCCATTGTGTTTATGTGTCTGAGTAGCACACTTTGGAGATATCATGTTGCATAGACTGTAGTACATTTATTATAGAGGTACTGAAGAATGCAATCCCACACATTTACACACACACAAACAGCGTGTTTGATGCCATGAAGGGCCAATGACCTGCTCAGTGGCAGCAGTTTTGGGTTCAGTGACTTTCTCAAGGGTGCTCAGTTACATATTTTTATGGACTGGAAAGAGATCTAATCCCATTGGAATGAAAAAATGATTCATGTTAATCAACCAAAACACTTAAAGTGCACAGGCATTGTTAGTAATATTCCATTACTAGGAGCATTAAAACACTTTATTGGATTTAACGTTAATACCGGTTAACCACATGATCCCTGAACAGAAGTGTCCCTTTATCACTGGGCGTTATACCAGTGTTATGGAGAGCATCCTGAATTTTTCAACAAACACAGCTCGGGGTTATCTTGAGCGTGCTGTCTCTAGAGTTTTGGCCCCTGACATCGGCATATCCCGCATACAGATCACCATCACTCCATGAGAACAGCTATTGCACAGTTTGGATGATTATTATGTACATAATAGATTTCTGCAGGCAAGATTAACTTTGAGGTGGTGCAGACTCTTATTTGGAGAATAGTTTGCAACAAAGTGTTCGGGGGTGGATACGGCTACAGCTTTGTGGGGAAACAATGAGCGAAGAGTAACAGAAAACACAAAAGTGACAACAAAGAAAACGACCTTCTGAAAACTGTCCCTCTATCTCCGCGCTACTTCAGTTTCGATGAGACCCCGATGACACAGGATGACAAAACTCAAATCAGTGCTGACTGTTCATACTGAACTCAGATTGACAAGAAGCTCCAGAAATGAAATAAAGTCCTCATGAAAAGGAGGGAAGTTCAACAGCCTGAGTTAGTTACGAGGCGACAATCATGTCTCAACCTTGACGTTCTCTCCTCATGTCTCCCTACTGCAGCTTTATGGAAAGACACAGAAGACCTGCGAGTCTTTGGGCTGGATGTTTGTACAGTGCTGCACCTCCCACACTCAACTCCGAGTGGTTTCAAAGGAACAAGGAGCTGTCACGTTGAGTGTGGGTGGTTATGGAGCTGTCTCCAACTAAAGACTTCTGATTTATGCCTAAAAACAAAACAAAACTACACTGAGCAGACACGGTAAATTCCTGCTGTCATTTCACTTCATTGGAAAAGATGTATAAGCGTAATAGGAGCAACACACCCATGTGACACTTCTCTGTGCAATACTACAGCTGCTGTAATACAACTTAGATGCATTAGATAATCAAGAAAATCTAAATCATAGCAAGAGCTCAATAAGATGACTCTAATAAATGCCCATGTTTGTGTTTAGTACTAGCCAAACAACAAATACTGTGTAATTGTAATTACATTTGTGTACAGACGATGTTGCCTAGACTCATTTTGAGCAGATAAATGCAGTGTGATCTCACTACACACAGCCCAATCTGCTTCTCCTCACATTGTTCTCTTGCCTGCAATCAATGACACGTTTGCTTGAATTTACTAATGCAGCATTCTTCATCACAGCAATGCACTGTGGGTCTCATTCAATGCACAATTACTTTTGGCTGGGCAGCAGCCCAGGTGTATGCACAAGCTTGCATATTAATACTGCCACACTTACGGTGTGTTAGTGCTCAACATTGGGATGCAACAAAGTTCTTACCATGCTCCACAGCTGCACAGTAATCCTACAATCACAATGACAATTATATGGTTGGAAACTCTGCAACCCAAACAGATAGAGCATTGCAAGAAAATGCTGGAGTATCCACTTCACTACTGACAAGAGTGGCATGATGGCATCACAGCCTACCTGCAGGAAGCACACTAATAACGGTTGAGGAATTGTGCACCCACGGCAAGGCAATTAAATATTTTCCAACAACTTTCTCATTGTGATTCACAGTACCATCCATCAACCAGCAGTAGTGATATTTAAACTCTGGGTGTGGCATATTAGCATAAAGATTCAAGGGATCATATAATACATTTTGAAAACAGAGACAAATACAATCTATACACCACAACGTTCACCATATATTATAGCACACCCGTTCAGTGCAGCACTAAAGCCTGGTGCAGGTCGCCATCTAGTGGTTGAACATACTAGGCCAAAAGGAGACAGACTACATACATATTTTTTGTGCAACTTTTACAAAACCTGCACCAAAAAACAAATAACTGAGCCTTCATCTATGTCAAATATGCATGTATTATTACATTCACTCTTTATAGCACCCCTAGGCCTTCATGTTTTTGAAAAGCACTATTCTACTAATTACAAATTATTTTATCTGCACAGGTAAAGACTGCAAGGTGTGCTGTGAACCTCGCAACCAACGCACAGGGTGACCAGATCCCAACAACCTTAATGTGGGACAAAGGGGACATATCAGCAATGCTGAGATGTCGTTACATCATTTCAGCTGCTCTTCCGTCTGGTAATAGTTTTTAGGTATACATAGATATGTATATAGAAACCATATATACATAGATATGTAGAAGACGCCCAGACATAGATTGACAAGCCTTCTTTTGAGCAATATCTGACTTTTATTTTTTGCATTTCAGATTTTATTTACTTGGCATATTGGTCAAGATAATACCTTTGGCCTCTCATCCAAGATTTGCTGGCGGATGTCCTTGTGTTTCTCCAGTAGCCTCTCCTGTCTTTTACTCTGGGCGTCTTCCAACTAGAAACACACACACACACACACACACACACACACACACACACACACACACACACACACACACACACACACACA